TTTTCATTAGGGTTTGGATCGTTGGAGAAGAGGTTAGAACAGAGGGAGAGAGAGAGATCGAAAAAGAAGAGAAATGATCATTTTCGTTAGGGTTTGGATCGTTAGAGAAGAGGGTTGGAGAAGAGGATCGATTTAAGATTGATTTTGAAATTAAAAAGGGCTATGTTTTATCGTCGATCTGTGATTCATCGCCGAACTATCAAGATGAATGAAAGAAAGAGAGAGAGAGGCGTGAGATGAGAGAGAAATAGAGATCAAAAGAGAGGGAAAAGTTCTGGAATTTTAAAAGTTCAACCATTGGGATGCTCATATAAATATGTTGATCCAATGGTTTGGAAAATTAAAAGAAGAATCTGGAATGATGTGGATTTCAATAATTTTTTTCAATTTAAATTTTTTTTTTTATTTATCTAGAATGTAGTGGTATATTTTTTGGTGGGGTGAATTATATTTAATTTTTTTTATAATTGTCTAGTTGGGTAGAATGTAAATATTTAAATTTTTTTTTAAGAAAAAGTTTGCAAAAGGTCATAAAAGATAAAAAAAAAAATAAACAATGAAAAGATCACTAAAAAGCCTATATCTAAAACAACACCTACAAAATTGGATGGAAAATTTGCCAAAATGGAAATGCTCTTGTAGCATTTTCCATTGGAGATGCTCTTACACAACTACACAGATTAATATTTCAAAAAAAGAAAAAGAAGAATAAACAAATGATATTAACCCCACATAAACGAATTATGTTTCTACAAACAGAGTTTAACTAGAAAATTAAAATTTTTAAACTAGATTTGAATATAATGTAAACATTTTCTAATGCACAAATTCATGAATAACAATGTGAAATTGTAATAACAATTCAATACGAAGTAGAATCTAACTCAAACAAAGATTTGGGTAGAAACAGTACACAACAGATTATCTAGGATACATAACAAAAAATTAATATTTCAAAAAATATAAAATATGCAATCTGTATTAAAGCAAAACTATAAAATACACAAATAAATTATGTATTGAAATTAGAACCAGAATAATAATAATAATATTAAGTCAGTATTAAACAGAACCAAAAATCCGTGTTAAGATTGTTGGAAAAATCCTTATGTGTATTGTGTGAAACACGTAATAATCATACCAAATATATAATCAAATTACATAAAAATATAAGTTGGAAACCAAACCAAAATACTCACAGAGAAGTAGAAAACTTATGAACATGTTGCAAAAATCTGAAACCAAAAACAGTTTGATCGACGCTTGTAGTGGACACAATTTCTTTAAGATGAATTTTGCCCCTCGCTCCGGTGCTCACAAGTTTGAATAGGTGTCTGTTTCCCAAAATACAACGATCGGAAACCATGTAGAAGCAACACTTCAATCTATGAGTCTGGCTCTCTCTGTTATACTCTATGATGTCCCGGGTACGTCACCCGTTTTATTCTTCCCTTAATTTTGTTTAATTACGTAATTTCGAGCTTATGATTTCAATCTAAGACCCTATCGGCCGTGTGAGTACACTTCATTCAAAAAAATTCTTGTGTCAACATCCTAAACTAGTTCCAAGGTCTAAGTTCTTCATTCTGGGTGCGGAGGTGGAATCGAGGTGGAGAAACACCTAGTTAAACTTCGTATTGCTTCTGGTAAACAAAATCGCACGTGCGGGGGAGGAGCCGCACGTGCAGTGTGGTGAGGGGTGTCTTTTTGAGGCTTAGCTATTGAAATAAAAGCATGCACAGAAGAAGAAAATTGCACATGCGGAATGAGAAAACCGCACTTGTGGCCTGGGACTTGCATGTGTAGGAAAGGACGCTGTACGTGCGACAAAAGGCATACACGTGCGGGACCGCTTATGAGTCTAAAAATTTCTTCTTTTCTTTCTTTTGGCTGAGTTACTTTTTTCATTTCTTCATTTCCCTTCTCTCTCTGCATCTTCTTTTCTCCCCATTCTCTCTACAAAACACCCACCACCATAAATTCTTGATCTCTTCAAATTCATTGGAGATTTGACCCTAGTTTCTTCATCAATTTTGGAGAGCTTTTCAAGGGCTACATATTGTGAAGTGGAGATCGGGTTTCGACACCGACAAAATCTTAGAGTTTTTCCCATCTTTCTTCTCTAAACGTGAGGTATGGAGTTTCTTAGAATTAAATATACAATTTTAGCATGTCTTGGTCTATTTTGGTATGATATTTGTGTTGGCAGTTTGGAGATTTGAAATGTGGAGTTTTGAAATTGTTTGAAAAAGTGATTTCTCTCTTGATTTTACTCAAATTGATTGGTTTTATGAACTTATGAGACTCTTGGAAGTCCATCAAGGAAAATATCTTTTGAGAAGGAGAGAAAATTGTATTTGGGAAAAACCCTAGATTTTCAAAATTTGGAGAAAAGTTGATTTTGCAAAAAATTCATGTAAATGTTGGGATTTTCATTAAGAAAAATGATGAACTTTTATAAGTGATGTGTTGTTGAGGCACCCATGAGTTGGATGGGTTATGTTGGCGAAAAGTTACCCTTGATAGCATGATTGAAATATGCTTGGATTATGAAATTTTGATATTGATTGTGAATATGGAATATTGTCATATGTCACATATGCATTGTTGGATGATATTTGAGAAACACCGGTAATTATGGTAAATTTCTTTGAAATGTTGAACATTGTGTTAACATTGAGAGAATGTTGTGACTTTTGGAAATTGTTTATTGAGAATATATATTAAATTTTCATTCCATCCTCATTCATTGCATAGCTTTTGAATAATGTTTTATTAAAGCTTTGATTTTGGAAAATCGAGTTATGGTTTTAAGATAACCTTTGAACTTGAAATGTTTTGTGGTAAATATGTTTGGTAACTTTGGATAGAAGGTGTAGTTTGAGAAGTAAGTTAGTTAGAGTGTCCATGGTGAAAAATCGAAAACAAGCGCAAAGCAGGTGCCGCGTGCCTTCTGGTTAGGAGTCAGTAAAGTGGCAATTGATAGTGCTTGATATACCTACTTGTGGACACCAGCTTAGAAATTACCTGAGTCATATTTACTACCCCGAATTTGTGTTTTGAACTCATTGAGATAATGTGTTTTCAAAAAGGTCATTGCATGTGATTTCAAAAGAATAAAACTCTTGGTTATTGAAACATGACATGGTGTGGCATCCATATTATAAAACTGCTTAAAACATATATACTTTGTTAAGATCTTCTTACTGGTTTTGTGCACACCCCTAGTGGATTTGTGCAAGATTGGATGTGGTGATTCCGTCTCAGTGAAGGCGAGTGGATGTTTGTGAGAGCGCAAGGCTCTTTGCTTATTTGTTATATTTTTGACAAACCAAGGGCTTATTTGTATGGGTTCACAAACCATTTATTTGTAACCGGACTTAAGCCTTGGAACTTGTTGCCCAAGGGCCTTTTTTTTTGTGTTTATTTATATTATCTGTCGCACATGCTATATATTTATACCCAAGAGGAGTTTGAATATGTAATTACATGTAGACTTCTTATGTAAATCTCTTATATATCAAGAAATACAATTATAGAGATTTGAATAGTATAGTGATGACTGAAGTTTCATGATTATTTAACTGAAAAGGATTACATCAAGATTGTTTTATGCTATTTATTTGGTGGCATTACATACTCGACCTAAAGTATAATAATGCATGAATCCTAAAATTCCTATCTCTTCTGCATGAATGCCATGGGATGGGATGGTATTTATAGAAGTGGTTGTGACCATTCAAAACACGTTCTATTTGAAGAGGCACTATAAAGAGTTGCACTGTTCTATTTGAATGGAGTCAATTTTCATTCACTTCTAAAAATTTTCAACAATGTTGTGGTTCTACCATTATAAAAACACGTTTGCAAAACTAGAGGGTTACAACTTATGTATATAGATTTGATATTAATAAGATTTCTAAGTGTTTACAATCCGATTTGGTTTCCAATTAGAACCGTAAGTTTTAAACCAATGACTGAACCATGAACTACGGTTCAATTATTTTAAGAACCAAGACCGAACTATGTATTCAGAAAACTAAACTAAATTTTGCTAATAAATGCAAATTTAGGGACAAAAAAATTAATTTTTTAGACAAATTTTAATATAAAAAAGTAATTCATCACTAAATATTCAATTTCGTTGCTAAAAATACAATCATTACACTTTTGGCAATAAAGATATGTTGTCCTAAAAAGTGATTTCGTCACTAATTTTTTATCTTTAAAATCTTAATTTATTTATATAAAATTAATTAGGGTTCTACTAATGACATTTCTAAGAGTTGTCAATAAGAAATACAAAATGACAAAATATTTATAATCACAATACACTTTTCACATATCTCAAAACACTTCCATATATTTTTAAATATCCTTTACATGTTTTAATATATTTTTTATATATTTTCTAGCTCATAAGACTGTCTTTAACATTTTCCAATTAGTTAAAACTTTTGTTGCTAACTTTCTCACTTATTATTCCATCAAGATTCTAGAATGAAATAAGACACCTACAAAGAGCTACTATAAAACAAGACATACCAAGCACACAAGTACTTATAAACTTGAAACCTTAAACATAAAAATAGGCACACAAGTCAAGCGTTTCTTTGAGGCACACAGGGAGTTCGGATTTGCTAAAACTAAAAATCTCCATTTCATAATGAAGTTGACCTATTATTAAATTAACTTGGATTTACTTTATTAATCTAAACCGTTCATCTTATACAATTAACTAAAAAAATTATGCATGCAAAAAATCAAGTTGATCTAACATTGATTATTATCATACTATTATATCATTTTTATCTATACAGTCTATATGTTTTTAAGAATAAACCATCCATTTGTTATGATATATATATGCGATTTGATTATGTGATTATTTATGTCTAATCAACCCAATTTGTTACATGCATTTTCTTCTCAACTTGTCATATGAGACGAACTGTTCATATCATTGACATGAATATAAATTAGTCTCACAATGTGCCAACTTCACATGTAAAGTTGAGATGTTGAATTTTAGCAAATCTGAGCTCTAAATACCACAGTAGTCCTTAATACAGCTTTCACTTCTGGTATACACATCTGCGTAAGAGTACAGAAGTAATCCTAAATTATCAAATGGGTGAAACTGAAGTGGGTGTTGTTCATCAACAAGCTCTCGAGGTATATGTATAGTCCCTTTGTTGATTGAAAAGAGTCCCAATGAGTATCTTGTTTTGTCCCCTCTCATAACAACTCTATGGGAAGGTGAATGTATTCTGTTGTTGCTCCATGCCTATGACATCCAACCAAAAAAACATATCATCTCTTAAAACTTGAATAATTCAAAAGTCAATCCAAATCATTTGGTTTCTTTGCTAACATTTTTGTAAAAACCTGTCCCGGATTTGGAGTGGCTGCTATGTGTGAAGCATAATAGTCACTGTTGTGCGTGCAATGTAGTTCATTTTAGGTTTTATTTCGATAATTTAAACCGGTCACTTTTTTAAGATATATCGTGTAAAACATATCTGCAAAAAATCATGTTGATTTGATATCGTTAGTCCTTTCATTAAATTGCATTTGTATTCAGTCTTATATTTAAAATAACATTGCTCATCCATTTGTTTCAATACAAATGTGTTTTGATGAAAGGGCTACCAATGTCGACTTAATTTTTTGCAAGTATATTCTATACAATATATCCTAAAAAATGAACGATTTAAATTATCAAAATGAATGCTGGAGTGGACCTCATCGCATACACAATAGTGCCTATTGTGACACCCCAATTCCACTTATCTAATAGATATTGTTTTTGTTTCCAAAAAATCAAAAAATAGAATTGATACCAAAAATTTCAAATTTTTTAAAAGTAATAATAAAAAAAATCTGTTTTAACTTGTTTTCAAAACAAATTTTCGCCCACTCCTCCCTTCCCTATCCCTCCAGCCACCACCCATCGTTGCCATTGACCACCATGACCATTCGATGATCTTCGACCAACTTTCAACGAATAGTCTCTCTCTAGTGATCAGATGGCCACCAAAAAAGAGAAAAAAAATAAAATGCTTATCGCAAAACATGTAATATAATATGTGAGGGAAAATCACTAAAAGTTTATCAAAGTGGCTTTTAATTTTAAAAATATCGTTACTATATGACTTTGAATAAAATTATTGTATATTTTTTGGTTAAATAGATCTCTATAAAAATGGCATCCCAAGGAAAAAAATATGAGTATAAGGTGATACCATTCTACGTAGTGTCATATGTCAATAAAAAACCGTAAATGAAATTAGTGGACAAATCTTGTCTTTTACTAACTCAACAATGTTGTGGTTCCTATTGAAAATAAAATTACTTACTGAATAATAATATCACCATATAATATTATTGCTATATTTAATATTTACTCTGTAAGTAAAGGTAGAGGTGGTGAAGTTGAAGTTGAGATAAATCAACAAAGAAGGATAATAATTTATTGAAGTACCAAATTCTATGTAGAGGTGGAGATGGTGATTCACTATATGAATGGTTGCTTTCTATTTTATTTTTAAAAAATTGAAATTGGTTTAATAAAAGTAAATATGAAAAAAAATATTTTTAGTTTAAAAAATTATATTCACCATGAAAATAAGAAAAATATATAAAAATAATGATTTTTTTTTTCAACCGGTCTCATAACTCAACCAAACAAAGTTGATTTTTATATTTTTGCTTAAATCATAAAACGAAAAAAAAGGAGATTAGCATGCAACCATTCTCTTTTATTGTAGAGTTTATACTTATTAACGTCAAGGATTCCAACATAAGACGCCTAAACGGACCAATAATGAGGTGTGTCGGTGATATCACAACAATGGTATCCACCCTCAAATGAATTTCAATTACCGGGTCTTTTGGGAAGAGGGTAAAAAGTCCGTTTTTAGTTTTTTATCCATTTTGAATCACATCACCTCTCATATTTTTTACACACAAAATAGACTAAAAAAACTAAAAAATCAACTTTTTATCAACTTTCCAAAACACTCTATAGTCTAACCCCAATCCCGCCAAAATCATAATAGTAAAAAAACCCCAAAAAATAAAATAAAATAAAATTTAATGATTGACCTACCATGAAAGCATCTCCTGCCATGACCACAAAAGATGAAGGCAAGTGCTCCTCAAAACCAATCCACTCTCCATTGTTGGACTTCACCTCCAAACCATTAACTTGGTTTTGATGAAGTATTGTTATGAAGCTCTTGTCAGTGTGACTGGTTAGCCCAATATCCATCTCATTGATCTTGGGAGCTTTGTATTTTGTGGCTTTAAGAAGGTAACTGGTTGATCCAATATCATGATTTTCAAAACACTTCTCTACACCATAGCTTTCAAATACCATTCTCTTCACTGTCTGTTCTAGTTGAGAGACTAGCTTTGAATATGAACAAACTGTTTCACTATCCAATCCCAAACAATTAAAAATGGGATTAGGTGATTTGGAATTAGCATAGTTAAAGAACATGGAACAATTATGGAAATAGGAATGCTATGAACTCAGAAGAATAATCGAGAAAAAAACCCAGAATTTAATATGTGTGGTCAAGATTCAGTCAATGTGTGGGGCAACAATAACGACTTTAAATTTACACCATTGATCTAAAATTCTTGGTGCTTTTCTCGTCAATTTATTTATTTATTTTTTTTTTTGTGGTATCAAATTTACACCATTGAACTGAAATTCTTGGTACTTTTCTGGTCAATTGTCTAGTATCATAGACTTTTTTTTTTATGACTCCATTCAATTAGAAAGAAAAACTGATGGAAAGTGAAAGTAAAAGAAAATATGTATAAAAGAAAAGAAAAATTCTTACAAGCATTTAATTAAGATAAAAAAAAAATGTAAGAAAAAGATAAAGAAATTTGAAATTTTAATTATAGATAACTCCTTATAGACACATTCAATTTTTCTTATGTTTTTGTAAAAGGAGAAGGATCCCCTCCAGTCTCTTTGGGCCCGTGAGGTTCACCACGTGTCCCGTTTCGATGATCCGAATAGTTCATTTTGTCGGACACTTTGTGTATTTCGTCCAAAAAAATTAGGTCAATTCAATAATTACAACTTGTTCAATTTTTCACTAGAAAAATAGACAACAATTGTGTTTTTAAAAATAAACCAAACATTTTTTTAGTGATAAACGCAATAAATTAACAAGTTACAGATCAATCTAATTTTTTTGTGAATAAAATACACAAAGTACCCGACATAATGAACGATTCAGATCATCGAAATAGGGCCCGTGGTGCACTCCACGGCCCAAACAACGCCCTCTAGTCCAAAATCTGGATTGGAGGGGATCCTCCTCCTTTGTAAAGGAAAAATTAAAATGTTAGTTATAACATTAATACAAATTATACAAAAAAAATTAATAATTTTGTTTTACTTTCTACCACTTTCATGTTAAATAAACTCATAAAAAAAAAAAAAATTTTCTTCTTCTTCTTCTTTTTCTCACTTTAATTTTTATCACTTTCATCCTAAACGCATTATGGAAAAGTAATGTGCCCATTCTAAACTAACGTCTAGCCCCTATTTATGTATACAGTGGTAAATAAAAATAAAAAATGATTGTTTTGGTTTTCTATGTTTTAAAACTTATAGGAAAAATTAAAAAAAATTAAAAAATTTCCTACCAATCGGAGTTTCAAAGGCCTTGTCCAAGAATCCTCCCTTTCTCTGTTCATATTTCATCTTGACTTGATTGTTTTGAAAAATTAAATTTAAGACAAATTATACATGTGAATTGTATCCTTATAATTTTGAGGAATTTTCACATCAATGTATAACTACAAAAATAATTATAAATTAATGATGAACTTTATCACTGTTAATAATTAAATTTATAAAGTTGTTTATACATGTGTAATAATTTCTTTAAGCACTGAGGGGTAATTTTCCCTATAATTTTTCATTTCTGTCAATTTAATTTTTATAATTTTAATTATATCAAATTTATCATTTAACTTTTCACATTGTGTCAGTTTAATCTTTTGCTAAAAAAAAGACATAAACCAAGGACAAAACGATTTATTCAAAAGAAAACTGACCATTTTAAATTGTTCATCAAACTATCAATCATTTTGAGAAGGGTCAATGGAAGGGTCAATGGTATCCCTTAATTTCAATCTAATTTCGAAAGTAACATTTTTTTTTTTTTTTGGTTGATAGTAACCTGGAACCATGTCAAAAGCCTCTGGGTCCAACCTAGGAATGTAAAGCCAATAATTAAGCAACAACCCACAAGCACATGATTCGAACAAATGGGAGGAGTCAATACGAGTTGCACCTGTGGGAACAGACACGAATGACAATGAGGAGAACGCCCAATAAAAGGTAGGCCGCACCTTGGGGCCGAATATATCAGGTAAGTCAGCATGGTCCCATTAAAGTGGGACTAGGTTATCCCTTGTTAAAAGGTATAGTAGGAAGATGGGCTCTGACAGAGTGATGATGAAAGGTTAAGCTATATGGAGAAAATATCAGGAGAATGACTCTATAAAAGAAAATGAAGGCTTAAGAGGTATACCTTAAGAAACTAACGATACTAATCTTTCTATAGAAACTGACTTACTCGTTAGAGAGCTAATTTTGGTACCACCGATCGGAGTTGTTCTTCTGTTTCAGGTGACGTCTCAAGGATCTCTCGAGGGCTTGTTTAGATTAAAGGAGTATTCCAAGACGACCTCCCAATAGAACCTAAGCTGGATTTGTGGAGAGTTAACCTAGACCAATTAAATTACTCCCTTAGGGTATTTCAAGTAACAATATTGGACTAAATTGATAAAATGTGAAAAATCAAGGTTGAAATTGATACAATTACAACTTGAATGACCAAATTGAATCAAACTATAAGGAAAAAAAAGTGTAATTTATTCTAAAATTTATGTTACACAATAGGTGTTTGACTAAGTTTTGTTATAATGAAAATGGTAGAAAGTGACTGAAATAGAATAAATAATTGGTTTCAATTTTCATGGAAATTGAGTTTTTTTATTTTTTTGTATTTCTTTTAATGATTTTTTTAATATTTTAAGCAAATTTTTACTTTTTAGATGTACCTAACTTAGATGTACCTAAAAAGTAAAATATTTGTAAAAAATATTTTAAAAAATCAATAAATACATAAGAATAAAAAAATAGACTGAATTTTCATTTTTTTTTTTGTATTTTTTATATTTAGTGAATTTTTTAAAAGATTTTTTCACAAATATTATAGTTTTGAATTGTATTTATAGGTGTATTTAAAAAGTAAAAAAAAAATATTTAAAAAATTCACTAAAAACAAAAGATATGAAAAACAAAAAACTCAATATTTAGAAAATTGAAACTAAACATGGTGAAATTTTTCAGAATTTGTTTAACATAAAAGTTGTGGAAGTTACAAGAACTTTGATTTTCTTATACAACTCATAATGTCATGATAACTAAGATTCTAGTCTCTTGTAAAAAAACGAAGAGAAACACAACAAAATTTAAATTTGTTAGAAAAGTAGTTAATTATAATTTAAATTCCTGTTTTCTTGTAAAATTTTTATCATAATCAAATTAATATAAGAAAATATATTTTCTTTTCATTTTTTTTCTTTTACCACACTTATTACTATTTTCACTTTCCCTCATTTATTTTATTCTAATCAAACAAGACCCAGCAAAAGTTGACACGAAACATGTACTTTACAAACAATAAATAGAACGATGGGTTATTTACAATAATACTGTTTAACTATTATTAAATATCACTTTATTGTCTTTCATCTATGAACCGGTACATTTTGACTCCCTCAACTATAAAAATGTATCACTTTCACTCCTGGAGACCATATTCAAAAGAGATGTATTTGTACAATTTTCACAAGTGAGAGGGTCAATGTACGGATTTATAGATAAAGAAATAAAATGATATTCGCTAGTAGTTGAGAAATCTTAACACAATTAACCCTAAAACAAAAGAGATCAAATCATACCAGAATTTGTCATTACCGGCAGGCCACATGAGTTTAGTGAAAGTTTGAGTTCCTTGGAGAGTCTGTGGATCACTAATCCCCATACTCTCATATAAAGGAATATACGGCAATTGTCCAACATAGCCAAAGTAAGGCACATCAGAAGTGTTTTGGACTTTGGTTTCTGTTGGGAGATCAAACAATTCCTCCAATTCACTGAATATTGCTTCATCAAGCTCCAAATCAACTCTTTCATACACTGCCACAAAGCAACCATGCTCTTCGAGTGCTCGACGGACTTCGTGGCACGTGGCGATCCAAGAACTCTTGCCAGGCTTCAAGTTTTCGCCCGTGAATTCGACCGTTGGAAGCTTGGCAGACAGTGTTTCAGAACCCATGAATTTTTATTTTTATTTTTTTGATAATTTAGAGAGAAAATTTAGATGGGTTTTGAGGTGAGTGGTGAGATTGGTTTTGAGGGTTTATATGGAAATAGAAGAAGAGTTGACCGATGGGTTCAAGAAAAAATTGAGGAATGTTTAGTGATTGTCACTACATGTCATTGCAGGCATGGATACTTGTTAACTGAAATATTTGGCTGATTGGTCCAAGATTAAAAAAATAAATAAAGATAAAAATATCCTAATTTTCTATTCCTCATTAAAACAAAAGATATAATAATAATAAGCATTATGTTTCAGACCCCCACTGGGGTGACCCCCAGGACCCCCGTGGGGTCTGATTGACCAGAAAAAAAAAAAATTTATTTTTTTTCTTTTTCAATAACCAACCCTCACGTGTTTGTGGGGCTAGTGAGGGTAGGAAAACGTGGGGGTCTCCATTAGGATTCTAATAATAATCTAAAATCTGAGGTGAAGCAGCTTTCTGTTTGTTTGATTTTTCAAAAATTATTTTTAAACAAGTGTTCGTTTGTCATTAGTGGTTTTTTTTTTTTCATTTTTTGTCATTTTTTTTTTTTACTTTTTAAATGCATATAATCTAAATGCATCTAAAAAGTTTTAAATTTTTTTGCCTAAAATATAAAAAAATATTCACTAAATTTGTTTGAGTTTTCATTTGTTAGTAAATTTTTTTTTTATATTTTAGTTTATTTTTATTTTTTTAGATGCATCTAAATGTTGATGAATTTATAAAATAAAAAATTAATTAAAAAATATTTTTAAAAAATCACTAAAAATAAAAAAAAATTACTCAAAAATAATTTTTAAATATTAAACCAAAACATATGATTAGTCTATCTAGGGATTCTGCCGGCTAACGTGATCTGACCATAGGGTTGTTCATGATTTTGTTTAGCATAATTGTAAATAAATAAAAATAAAATTACACCATTTGGAAATGGGATTTTTTGTTTTCAACTCTCCCATTATAGTTCTTTACTAGTTTAAGAAAAAGAAAAAAAAAAAAAATACATGCTGATTTTTGTCCTATACTTTTTCAGTGTCTTGTTTCGGACTAAAATATCTTTACAGTTCCCGTGAATCGAAAAATCAAACTAAACCGATATATTTGGGTTGGGTTGTTTTGAATGCATTGATTTCGTTTTAAGTCTTCAAATCATCAAACTAATAAAATTGGGTTGGTTTTTGGTTTAGGTCTTGTCTAGACCAAACCAATCCGAGAACCGAACATATATATATAAATGTTATTTATATTGACATATCTTTATCTTATTACTCTATTACAATAGACTTGAGTACATCTAATAATTTTTCATATACAAGAATTATTAGATAAACAAAGAATGTACTAGAAACTTGAGTCAAACTTCGCAATTGATTTAATTTGTATTGATTGTATTAATGAATTTTATTTGTATTGATTATATTTAAACTTGAGTTGAACTTAATTTGTATTGGCTTGCATTAAATAATAGAGATTATTTCATTTTTACCTCTATACTTTGTCACAATTTTCAATGACCTCCCCAGACTATTCTTATTTTCACGTGTACCCCTATACTATTTAAGCTGCTATCAATTTTGCCCCAGCCGTCAGATTTGAAATGAAAAAATTATTAAAATTACATTTTGGCCCCAAATTTCAAAAGAAAGATGCAGACCCACTATTTTCCTACCAGCAAACCACCACCAACAACCACCACTTCAAGCCATTTTATCTCTTTTGTCATAACTCTGTTTCGCTTCATTATTAGGTCGTTGGATTTAACTCACGGTCTAGTTTTCGTATCACATCTCACACGTTTCATTCTTCCTCTTTTTGCATGCTATCGGAGCTCCGAAAGTTAATAAAAACAAAAAAGACTTTTTTTCTCGTTTTCGACTTTTCTTTGAGCCATCTTTTGGACTTCATATCTTTCTCAATTCTTGACGGTTCTATTTTATTCTTTCGTCATTCTCTTCACCTCACTTCCTACTTCGCCCTACACTACCTCGCTTTCTCACTACTTTGTGTAATGGACAGTTTTGATATGCCGAAAGTTGTCTAAAAACTAATTTCGAAAATTTCAAAACATTCATCTTTTGTTTCTTTCTTTTTCATCTTCCTCATTCTTCTTATTCTTCTTCTTCACCTATAACATGATGTGGAACATGGTTCTAGGTGGTAACAGAACTAGTAATAGTGGTGGTGGCGGTAATGGAGTTCAGTGCCGACGGAGTTGGTGATTCGAGTAGTGATCTTTTTCTTATTCTTCAATTATATACATACATATCATCTTTTCTACTAGAATTTTCTCAGTCCATTTGAATGGAACACCGTGCCCGTTTAGACTTGGATCGTAAATGAGATGCAAACCTCAATTGTTTTGCCAAGAACAAAAGAAATTTGTATTGTTAAGAAAAATCTTGTAGCAAATAGCTGATTTTGTATTAGAAGAAAGGTTTTGTTGTTATAGCCATTAATGTTGAATTACAAATTAATGAGCACCTATTAATATCTCTATTTGCTATGACTACTGTCATGACCCAAACTCGCCCCTATGGGTTAAGGACATAACCGGCCAGCAATCTTGAGATTACCTACGGCCTCATATTCTTCAGACATAACTTGTCAGAGTAAAGGGGCCAAACGGAAGCAAAAATTAAAAACTTTGTCCATAGAGCCGTGCTTATATGCACATCAAACAAACCATATTCAGTTACGTTAATAACCCACCTCAAAAATACAGTTTCACAAAATTCATTACAGACAGGATCATTCAAAACGAGTCAACCTATGACAGGCTATTTACAGATATACACTAGGCCCTTGCCAACAGGACAAAACATAAGTGCATAGCAAAAAGGCAAGGTAGGTCTCAAGAGTGAGACGCAAGGCTGACTTCCTCAAAACTCGGATTTCTCCTAGCAGACTTCACTGCGGCTGGGTTTGGACTTCCCTTGGCTCACCTACAAACACATGAATGAACGTGAGCGATAGCCCAGTGAATAATATCAAACATGACAGTTACATGACAATATGTAGAACAACATGCTCCAAACGGCCTTGGGCCCAGTTCATACTTCTATTTAACACAGATATATATATACTTATACAAAATTTAGTTCAAGTGACTGTAGTTCCAACATACTAGCCTTTGGCCCATTCAGGTTTCCATTCTTGTCAAAACGGCCTCCGGCCCATTTATTTATGTCAAAACGGCCTTCGGCCAATCCATTTACGTCAAAACGGCTTTTAGCCCACTCATTCATGACAGAACGACCTTCGGTCCATTCATATTCATCTAAACGACCTTTGGCCCATTCATATACATCAGAACGACCTTCGGTCCATTCATTCTTATCAAACGACCTTTGGTCCATTCATATACATCAGAACGACCTTCGGTCCATTCATATTCATCTAAACGACCTTTGGTCCATTCATATACATCAAAACGACCTTCGGCCCATTCATTCTTATCAAAACGACCTTTGGTCCATTCATATACATCAGAACGACCTTCGGTCCATTCATTTATTCTTGTCAGAATTTAGTCCACAATCCCAATTAACAGCTCATAAAGTTTATAAGGGAATAACAATTGGACATTGACAAACTTTCAAATATTGATATTACTCACAGTGATCGGCTTGTTGATTTGCCCTGGAGCTTGACCCTACACGTTTCATGAACACAAAAGGGTCATTAACAGTTTAATCCGTTCTTTAATTCACATATTCCTCTTTAGGCTTTATTATTATCTCATTAACTCATTTATAATGCTTAACATATGCCTAAGAGTGCTTGCAAGTGAAACAGAACGGAAAACAGAACACAAAATGCAAAAACAGGATTTCAGAAAATAAGGTCCCCGCTCGAGCGTGGACTTCCCCGCTCGAGCGAACCCTCAAAGCCTGCAAAAGTGCTGGTTGCATCAAAAATACGCTCGAGCGTGAAATAGGACGCTCGAGCGGAAGGCCTGTCAAAATAGCTCCCACGCTCGAGCGTTAATTACCACGCTCGAGCGGACATTAAGTCTGCAAAAAGTACTGGGAGCACGCATTTCCCGCTCGAGCGTCAGGTTCCCCGCTCGAGCGGACCTCAAAATTCTGGAAAACCCAGAACTGTGTTCTTGAGCTTCAACTCGAAATTCAAAGGTTCAAGATGCATGATTTCGGCTCAAATATCATAGAAACATACACTAACATGGCATAAACCCCAAGTTACAACACAATGAAGCTCAATCCCAAGAATTACTTACATGCATGGCCCATTTTGACTCAAATTCATTTTCCAACATAATAATTCATGCATTCCAACTTCACATCTTCATCAATCATGCATGCATGCCAATCCTTGACTCCATTTCTATTACAATTGGTACAAATGGTGCTCATAACCATGAAGCTCGACCAAACCATACTTGCATGTATGATTCAACACCTAATTTCTCATATTCTACTCCTCACATGCTTGATTATGCAATTTCATGGTAATTCTATGCATGCATGTGCATATAAACTTCAAATTCATCATACTCAATACCATTCATGTTCTTGATCAGATATTCTCTTCGAATTAACATTATTACATACACAAATTCATGAATTAAGGGTTGATCACTCACCTAGGAGCTTCAATCTCCACCCGTTCTTGTTAATTCTAGAGTGTAGCTTCCCAATCCACAATCTTGAATCAAAATGCCCAATGGTACTTCCCCTCTCTCTCAAAGTCGACTCACTCTCTTTTCTAGAGAGTTAAACTCCAGCCAAAATGATATAAGGAGGAGAATTTGAATGCAACAAGGGCCCTTATATGGCCCCACTAACTTAAAATTATTAATATTAAATAATTGAGGCACTAGACCCTCAATTTAATCAGTTTAATCTGACCCGAATAAATTTCTAATTAAGTTTCACCGTAGGCTCTAAAAATTATGCCAATCACAATGGCGTAATCAATTTCGGGTTCTGTGGCCGATAGGGCCCTCAATTTAATTTCCAAGGTAGTTTACTCAAACAGATATTCCTACAGTGAACAGATAGAATTGCAAAATCACATATATTCACATAATGGCACATAAAGTCAGGCTGAACACGTAATCATATTCAAATTAAGGACCAATTTAGCATAATGCAGAATAGGGGTATCACAACATGCTAGCATCAATTTCATCTTCTTCAAGCTTCCAATTGTTTCAACTCCCATCCAAAATTAGGTTTGAGTTTTCTCCTCAATCATAAGTCGGAATCAGACTCATAATATATCGTTTCGAATGTCTCAAAACAAAAATTCCAAATATATAATTTTCAT